GTAATGGAGACCTTCGAAAGAGCGGATGAAGCCAGTTGTCTGTTTTGATCAGTTATCTGTCTTCACAGCCACCGCAACCTGCACGTAAACATGTGCATATTGCGATATAATGAATGAATGTCTTGTTTTTCGCTCCATCTGGACGTCCGTCAACGATAAGGGATAGTCAAACAAGAAATGGATCCCTCACAGCAGCAGGTGAATTATAGAACCCAGGTTGCTGACCTACGCAACTACTAACAGTAAGGATTACATATCAACATTACAACGAAGGAACAAAGCAATAAAAGTGGATTTAGCCCAGCCATCGATAGCCCGCTAACAAACAAAGGAGTGTCTCAACGCCTATGAGTAAAGGCGCTATGTATATTCACGTGAAAATAATGAACAATCGGGCTATTAGCAATTCAAAAAGCCAAACAGACTCATACGAGGATTTGAAAAGGGTACTCCGGAAAACATCTCATACAACGAAGAACGCCTTCAAGGAGCTCTGTACGTAACAAAACACTAATAATAGAATAAGTCATACGATTATGTAATCACAGAGCGGGAGCGCTCCCGAAGCTTTTTTTGAAAAAGCAGGTCGGCCAATACATGCTTACAAGACAATTCAATGGACATCAATAACCGAACATTCACTGAAAGAGATAGCGAAAAGGGTTTTCATCAGACATCCGTTTTTCACTCGGAGAAGTTCTTCATAATCACAAGCCGCAACAATTATGAAGGCCAAGTGAGAATGGCGCTCGTTCTCACAACTGCTCCAAACAGACGGAGCGAAAGCACCCCCGTTTCCGTTTTGCGACAATTAGAAATCTTTCCTGCAAATATGGAGTTGTGTTGTGGAACAAAACTTCAAGCCCCGTAGGGGACTCGAACCCCTGACCGTTAGATTAAAAGTCTAACGCTCTACCAACTGAGCTAACGAGGCTCCACCGGCAGTTCGCTCAGTAGCCGTCCTTTTTGTAAGGGACCGAAAGAACTCGTGTACTCCTCTTGTTACGGTTCTGATTCCTACAAATATGGAGTTGTGTTGTGGAACAAAACTTCAAGCCCCGTAGGGGACTCGAACCCCTGACCGTTAGATTAAAAGTCTAACGCTCTACCAACTGAGCTAACGAGGCTCCACCCGGCAGTTCGCTCAGTAGCCGTCCTTTTTGTAAGGGACCGAAAGAACTCGTTTCCCTCTTGTGACGGTTCTTGATTCCTACAAATATGGAGTTGTGTTGTGGAACAAAACTTCAAGCCCCGTAGGGGACTCGAACCCCTGACCGTTAGATTAAAAGTCTAACGCTCTACCAACTGAGCTAACGAGGCTCCACCGGCAGTTCGCTCAGTAGCCGTCCTTTTTGTAAGGGACCGAAAGAACTCGTGTACTCCTCTTGTTACGGTTCTGATTCCTACAATATGGAGTTGTGTTGTGGAACAAAACTTCAAGCCCCGTAGGGGACTCGAACCCCTGACCGTTAGATTAAAAGTCTAACGCTCTACCAACTGAGCTAACGAGGCTCCACCTGCAGTTCGCTCAGTAGCCGTCCTTTTTGTAAGGGACCGAAAGAACTCGATTTCCCTCTTGTGACGATACTTGTTCCGGCAAATATGGAGTTGTGTTGTGGAACAAAACTTCAAGCCCCGTAGGGGACTCGAACCCCTGACCGTTAGATTAAAAGTCTAACGCTCTACCAACTGAGCTAACGAGGCTCCACCTGCAGTTCGCTCAGTAGCCGTCCTTTTTGTAAGGGACCGAAAGAACTCGTTTCTCCTCTTGTTACGGTTCTGATTCCTACAAATATGGAGTTGTGTTGTGGAACAAAACTTCAAGCCCCGTAGGGGACTCGAACCCCTGACCGTTAGATTAAAAGTCTAACGCTCTACCAACTGAGCTAACGAGGCTCCACCGGCAGTTCGCTCAGTAGCCGTCCTTTTTGTAAGGGACCGAAAGAACTCGATTTCCCTCTTGTGACGGTTCTGATTCCTACAAATATGGAGTTGTGTTGTGGAACAAAACTTCAAGCCCCGTAGGGGACTCGAACCCCTGACCGTTAGATTAAAAGTCTAACGCTCTACCAACTGAGCTAACGAGGCTCCACCGGCAGTTCGCTCAGTAGCCGTCCTTTTTGTAAGGGACCGAAAGAACTCGTGTACTCCCTCTTTGTTGACGGTTCTGATTCCTACAAATATGGAGTTGTGTTGTGGAACAAAACTTCAAGCCCCGTAGGGGACTCGAACCCCTGACCGTTAGATTAAAAGTCTAACGCTCTACCAACTGAGCTAACGAGGCTCCACCTGCAGTTCGCTCAGTAGCCGTCCTTTTTGTAAGGGACCGAAAGAACTCGATTTCCCTCTTGTGACGATACTTGTTCCGGCAAATATGGAGTTGTGTTGTGGAAAAACAAAAAAAAAAAAAAAAAAAAAAAAAAAAAAAAAAAAAAAAAAAAAAAAAAAAAAAAAAAAAAAAAAAAAAAAAACAAAACTTCAAGCCCCGTAGGGGACTCGAACCCCTGACCGTTAGATTAAAAGTCTAACGCTCTACCAACTGAGCTAACGAGGCTCCACCTGCAGTTCGCTCAGTAGCCGTCCTTTTTGTAAGGGACCGAAAGAAACGTGTTCTCCTCTTGTTACGGTTCTGATTCCTACAAATATGGAGTTGTGTTGTGGAACAAAACTTCAAGCCCCGTAGGGGACTCGAACCCCTGACCGTTAGATTAAAAGTCTAACGCTCTACCAACTGAGCTAACGAGGCTCCACCGGCAGTTCGCTCAGTAGCCGTCCTTTTTGTAAGGGACCGAAAGAACTCGATTTCCCTCTTGTGACGATACTTGTTCCGGCAAATATGGAGTTGTGTTGTGGAACAAAACTTCAAGCCCCGTAGGGGACTCGAACCCCTGACCGTTAGATTAAAAGTCTAACGCTCTACCAACTGAGCTAACGAGGCTCCACCTGCAGTTCGCTCAGTAGCCGTCCTTTTTGTAAGGGACCGAAAGAACTCGATTTCCCTCTTGTGACGATACTTGATTCGGCAAATATGGAGTTGTGTTGTGGAACAAAACTTCAAGCCCCGTAGGGGACTCGAACCCCTGACCGTTAGATTAAAAGTCTAACGCTCTACCAACTGAGCTAACGAGGCTCCACCGGCAGTTCGCTCAGTAGCCGTCCTTTTTGTAAGGGACCGAAAGAACTCGATTTCCCTCTTGTGACGATACTTGTTCCGGCAAATATGGAGTTGTGTTGTGGAACAAAACTTCAAGCCCCGTAGGGGACTCGAACCCCTGACCGTTAGATTAAAAGTCTAACGCTCTACCAACTGAGCTAACGAGGCTCCACCGGCAGTTCGCTCAGTAGCCGTCCTTTTTGTAAGGGACCGAAAGAACTCGATTTCCCTCTTGTGACGATACTTGTTCCGGCAAATATGGAGTTGTGTTGTGGAACAAAACTTCAAGCCCCGTAGGGGACTCGAACCCCTGACCGTTAGATTAAAAGTCTAACGCTCTACCAACTGAGCTAACGAGGCTCCACCTGCAGTTCGCTCAGTAGCCGTCCTTTTTGTAAGGGACCGAAAGAACTCGATTTCCCTCTTGTGACGATACTTGTTCCGGCAAATATGGAGTTGTGTTGTGGAACAAAACTTCAAGCCCCGTAGGGGACTCGAACCCCTGACCGTTAGATTAAAAGTCTAACGCTCTACCAACTGAGCTAACGAGGCTCCACCGGCAGTTCGCTCAGTAGCCGTCCTTTTTGTAAGGGACCGAAAGAACTCGATTTCCCTCTTGTGACGGTTCTTGATTCCTACAAATATGGAGTTGTGTTGTGGAACAAAACTTCAAGCCCCGTAGGGGACTCGAACCCCTGACCGTTAGATTAAAAGTCTAACGCTCTACCAACTGAGCTAACGAGGCTCCACCTGCAGTTCGCTCAGTAGCCGTCCTTTTTGTAAGGGACCGAAAGAACTCGATTTCCCTCTTGTGACGATACTTGTTCCGGCAAATATGGAGTTGTGTTGTGGAACAAAACTTCAAGCCCCGTAGGGGACTCGAACCCCTGACCGTTAGATTAAAAGTCTAACGCTCTACCAACTGAGCTAACGAGGCTCCACCGGCAGTTCGCTCAGTAGCCGTCCTTTTTGTAAGGGACCGAATTTACTCCTCTTGTTACGGTTCTGATTCCTACAAATATATGGAGTTGTGTTGTGGAACAAAACTTCAAGCCCCGTAGGGGACTCGACTATTCTAGCTCATTACTCCCATAGGAAGTTGCCCTCAGGGATCAATATTTGGAAGATCTCCTGCACATTTCTTGGCTCAGTTTTTGCATGAACCGATTGCACTTTGGTTTCCGTTCTGGACAGACTGAGCCTCAATTGCCATAATAATAAGAAGAGTAGTTAGCCGATCACATGGAACGGGTTCGTTGGCAGATATTCTTTATCAGCGTATATGGCAACATCTCACACTTCACTGAAGACTTGCTCGTTTTTCTTAATATGTACACGAAAAAATTCAGTTAACGTCATTCCTTTTGAATCCGGATTCCTTGCGCTTAGAATCTCATGGTGATGAAAAAGGGAACGGAACCTACGTTCTAACCTGGCCATGATAAAAAGCGAACGCCTTCGGTACAGACGGCAATGTTTAACGTACGACTATTTGGTGTGGCGTGTGGCATTGCACAACTGTATGGTCCTGTAGCGAAGCCCCATCGCGGTGCAAATCAATAAATCCGCAATCGCATTGGATGCTCAAACATTTGCTAAATGCCAGCTGATTATCAGCGAGGCTTCTATTTTCATAAGCTCTTCTGTTTGGAATTTCGATTATGCTGCTTGTATCTTACGTGGCTTTTGCCCGATTTCTTCATTTATAAGGAGGTGTTAATTTCAGATATTTCTTTTGATACCGTTGGTGGTGATTGTACAGCCTTTGATTTCGTTCCAAGGGAACTCTGGCCAGTATTGCTAAGTCACACTCCAATGTGAATACATCAAAATTACTTGGTGGGGTATGGCAACATCTTCGGATAGCGTCAAGTTCCTGCAACTTCGCAACGGTGATCGCATTAATGTAAATTCGTTCTGTAACATTACTCACGCTGATGACTCAAAACTCCCTTCGGATCAGAAAGCTACCGCCGTTCTCCAGGCATATAGAGAGGTATGTTGGTATTTTCATATTTTCCTTTTTTCGCTATATGTTGGCTAATGATCGTTCTCACGATAACAATTTAGTGTTCTTTGTTGATTATGTGTATTTTTATCTTTCTCTCTCATCTTTTTGTTTTCGCATTACATGTCGTTTTATAAGGTTTTAAGGAGTATATAAGGTTATGCGGGTTTCTAAAGCATCGTTGATATAGAGTGGCGTTGTTTTGTTTGTACTTTTTATTTATTTATTTATTTATTTGAAACGACGCATAAGGCAGTCGTGGGAAATAACGATAACATGAGCAACAGTACAACAATCTTTCCTTATAGATAACCTAGTTATAGCTCAACAAATTTTTCTTAGCTAGGCGTTTGAAAAGCACAAAAGTGGAACAAAACGAGTACAAAAATCATGT